GCATGATTTCTTAATTAGAAGGACTTTGCAGGGTGGCCTACACAGGAATGAAGCCCAGCTTCTCCTGTCTGCTGCTCTTAGGCAATACAGAGCATGGGACCCAGAAAGGGCAAAGGTACAGCTTATCCTGAAGATGCATTTTATTACTCATCACCACCAGATATTCATAAATAAATTGGAAGCTGGCCCTCAGACTCCACAGTTTTTAATAATAGAAGTGAAAGTGCTCAATAATAGCCTATCTCTGAGCTGCAGGTGTTAGCCTTCACTACAAGAAACTGTTGGTCTGGACCAGACCCCCAGCCCATGGCTAAAAGCATTTCTAAGGCCTTCCTGCCCAAGCGTATCCCTCCACAGCCTTGGCTTCAAATGCCACCCGAACAGTCCCTGGGCCCAGGGAATGCCCACAGCTAGGACTCCCCATAAGCTACACCCTCCCTGTGTGGAAGCTGGACTGCTTAATGCTGGCAGCCTTCCCTGCTGGCCCTGGATAGTGATTCCAGGACATCCCTGCAACCAGCTCCTTCCCAAACCTTGGCCTGCCCACTGAGGACTTGACCAGGCCCCAAACCTGCAGAAGCTCCCTGGAGCATTTCACAGGTCAAGCTTGGTGAATGGAGTGTAAGTTCATCCCATTCCTAGTTGGTGCAGGCACTTCCACTCCTTTGCCCTTCTGAGGACCACCCTCCTTTGCTCCAGTTACTGTTGTAGGTATTGAGGCAAAGTCTCCAGACCCATAAAAACTCCCCCATTCTGGTCCCAGTTGGATCAACACTGCCCACTCTCATTTTTAGTCACCTCTACCTGTCCTGCTTCCCTTTTAAGGCAAGACATCTTAACATGCTAGGCCTATTACCCCTCCCCTCCCCTTAGCTACAACCTTTGGCCCAGTTAACAACACTCTTCCTTCTATTATGCCCCAAGGTTGCGCTTCCTGGCTTCATTCAGCTGTTCCCAATTATCCTTACAAAATTTTATTAGTAACCCTGCTGATCAGCTCTACTCCTACCCTGGCTAAAGATTGCCGGCTCTGAATTTCTATGTCTACAGCAACCTGTAGGGCCATTTCAGTCCCTCCCTGACTCTAGGTCTCTACCAACCTCACATGGCTCCCTCAATATGAAAAGAAAAGTGCACTCCATCCCCTCAGCAGAATGTTGGTAGCCACTTTCCTTATCAATAGCAAAACAAAATAAACCCAAGTAGGACATGCAGCCTGACTCCTCCAGTCCAATTCCCTAACGCTTGTGTGTACAAGAGCTCAGCTAAGCACACACATGGTCCCATAAGCACTGATACTCCTGACTTTCCAAGCCCCTGTCTGCATTCAGCATACTCTGTACATCACTAGGGCACCTACTTCCCCATCAGTCTAACCCTACGCTACTGTTACTGGCCTCATAAATCTTGCCAGCTACCAGGTTCCTCAGAATGCCTCACTCACTCGTTTGCCTGCTTCTCCAGTCCCTCCAGAGACTGCGTTGTGAGTATATCACGGCTCAGTAGTAAGTTTTGCAACGAACGTTGTGTCCCATGCATGCCATTCTCTGGAATCCCTGTCATCACTCTCCCACTCATCAGCCCGCTCCTCTTCCCTGCCTTTGATTGTTCCCACAGTGGCTCTTAGTAGATACCAAGAGATCCTACAATGGGAGGAACAGAGCAACAGCAGCCATTCAAATCTTG